TATGAAAAAAGTAACATCTGCTTTACCAAAATGTAATAAAAAAAAGAAAGCTGTTATTCAACACCTAGCTCAAAAATATGATTTTGTTCCAAAAACTGTTCTGCGTATAAAGACCGTTCTACTCAATGAATTGTCAAATTCTTTTAATATTTTGACTTCTCTATATTTGTATGTTCACTTCTGACCTCAGAAGAGCTCTCTGTTACTTAAGGAAGCCGTGATATTCATCAAACAAGGTCTAACAGTGATTTTTTGTCATTCTTGGGCTATTCAAATATGTACTTGGAATGGAAATGAAATGAAGCCATGTGGATGAAATACTAACAATACTGTGATAACCAACACTTTTCAGTTATTCTGTGCGCTGACATAAACGTTGAGTCATCTCAGTAACTATTTATGCTAGAAAGGTCGATCTAGAGTCAAAAGATTGAAGAGTCTAAGCATGACAATTTAAAAAGAAATTTTCTCTACTTTTATTAGTTAGCGTAAGGTGAAACAATCTTTTGGACAAAACTTGACTTTCACACAATTTGTGCACTGACATTTTCACTTTTGTTTCCCTCATAATTCCAGCAAAATAAATCCGTTTGCTCAGAAAATTTTACCCTTTTCAACATCCAGAAGTTACATGTGGCGTAAAAACATAAGCTCAAAATCTCTTATCGTTCCTGAAAAATCCAAAAATTACGACGGAACGTGCACTGACATTTTTCGGAAAAATCATGTGTACTGACATTAAACTCAGCGTGTCTCCATGAAAGCTTGACTGAATTTAGATTTATTATATACCAAGCGGCTCGTCTTTCTAAGCTGCATCTAACTATATACGCGTGATGGCTTCTCGTTCTACCCATATCACAATGGCTTTTACGGCAAAGTAGGACATGACTATCCTTCATTTATTTTAGTTTCGAGTTGAAGTTACCTTTCTGGAATACTTTTTCTAACATTGCTTCCGTTTTTTAATTGCTGCGGTACAGTCTGCATTGTATAACACAAATACCATACAAAACAGTTGCTGAACAGGTTTTGGAACAAAATCATATTTTTGAGCTAGGTGTTGAATAACAGCTTTCTTTTTTTTATTACATTTTGGTAAAGCAGATGTTACTTTTTTCATAGCTTTACCAAAAGATTGACAATTTTGAAATGAAGATGGTGGTTTATTATTAATTAAACGTTTATTTAAACGACATTTTCTTTGACGGTAATTAGCATTAGCACGAAAATTTTCTAATGCTTTACCTGTTAATTTCGTACGAATAGAATTACTACATTGACGAGCTTTTACCTTAACTTGTTCATGTTTGACTTTATCTTTTTTTATCCGCTCTCGATATACCTTCGCTCTTTCTCCTGCTGTTTTAGCTATGCAAACACGCTTAAACTTAACAAAAGTGAAAATGCTTACTTATCGTTATAAATAGTTTGATCCGGTGGAATAATTAAAAGATTAATATCTTCTTTTTAATTACTTTACTTTATATATGATGGAAGCAAAAGTCTCTATGCGAATGGCTCTCTATTTATACTATATTGAATAGTGATGGGCCGAAAGTGCTACGTCAGAAATGAAAGAAGAAAAGAGAAATTCTCTGACGACTATAGGGAAAGAAATACATAATTTTCTTTCATTTCCTGTACGAAATTAAGAAATCATGTATCGGGCGATTTTTGACAGCGTTTGGCGGTGGTACTGTATTTCTTTGACCTGCTATAGAAGTTTTAGTGAAACGTATGAAAAATGAAAATTCGAAATTTTGCTCGAAAAATATTTTTTTCTCA